GTTACGTTAAGAATTACAGAACAGGGATGTTCGCTGAAGGCATGTAAGGTACGTTTGTTCTCATCCAAGGTGACGCCGCATCATACATGTAGTTTAGGTCATGGTGTCAACAAACTCTTCAAAGGCTAATCGGAACTCGGGGCACTAGCGAAACCCACGAACTTTTAAACTTTCGATGACTGCAGGAAACGCCCCTCGTCCATCTATGTATAGTAATATTCAACACCCAAAAGTGATTATTTCAGAGGTTATTGGTAAGTTTAAACTTTCGTCACAGCAGGTGAATCAACATATCCTTATCGCTGAGACATGCGCCCCTGGTAAATGCAACTTCTATTGTAAAGCTGGTGTAATGAAACGTTGGTTAGAGGTGAAATGTGAATCAAGTCGTCACCGGATTAAATAACATCCTTTAATTGAGCGTGCTTGCCTGTTGAGCTATAATTGATCAAGTAATTGTAATATCTCCAGATAGGTTTCATTTTAACCTGTTCGACAATTTTATTCTTCATATAAGCGTTCACAGAAAGCATGGATCTTGTAGATAGGGATTTCGTAGGAAATGGACATGGAAAATACGTGCACTACAACTTAATTACACGTGCGATTCGCCATTAACTCCTTAAGAACATGAGAAACATAACACATCACCTATATGTATAATGCTACTTTAGAACTACTAACAGAAAACAAAATAAGGTTCTAAGAATTAAATTCAAAGACGTAACCCTATGAGTAGAAATGACATAGATATAGATGATGCGTGACAACGATTCACAACAGGTTTTAGATTTATTGTCTTTATTTTTTCGGGTTGATATTATAATTAATAATTATAATTGTACCACGACGTCATGATAATTTATTAAAACACTAGTTGTTATTGAGTAATGAATGAAGATGGCCATCAAATTCGTTTCGTTTGTTATATGAACAAGATCATGAGTTTAAAAAAATTAATAACTTACCAGGAAATAAATCTTTTCCTACAACGAACCCAACTTGGACATCTTTACGCCAAGCATGATGACTTCAATTTCCCTGTTGTAATTTTCTATTTCTGTTTTTCTATTTTTCTATGTGGGATATGAAGCTTGACGTCTTTGATGCCCGTTAGTTTGCCTGATGCCTCATTTTCGAAGGTGCAGAAGTCGCTTACTCTTCCAGAACACGAGGTCTTATTCCTATTGTCTTTTTGAGTGGTCTCCGTGTAAATCTTTCATTTGTTCGTGTTTTGCATGTTTTATGGAATTTAGTTTGGGAACGATTATGTGGATATGTCGGTATTTTCATGATGTCTTTTCTCCAATATACTGTAGTTACTATCTTATAACTTCACGAGCAAACACGTCACAATATACTCTTAATATATATACTAGCCTAACCTTCGATGACTGAATTAACAGATGTTCTTATTATACACTTATTTTGATAAGATAAAATACATAAGATAATAGAGGTATTTATATGATAGTATTCATTATTCTGTTTTGACCAATCGACTCTACCTGTCTTCCAAATGCTGATATCATTATATAAAAGGACGGCTGCTAAACCGCATCACCAACCAAAATAAACAAAAATCATACACTCAGGAAACTATGTATTTTGACTATTCAGACCGTTATAAAACAATCATAACAATTTTGCTAATTACTGCGAGTCTTGAAATCATCAGGAATGATGATCTGAAACTAATTCAATTATATATATTCAATGTCTGTTGGTTGATTCTGGGCAATGGCTATAGAAGTGAGATTACTATTTAGTTGAAAAAGTATTCTTATCTTGAAATGAATAGACAATAGTTCTAGATTTTTTCATCACAACAATAATATTTTATTGTCTATTCAGAATAAATATAAGCTGTATTGACTTAAAATCATTATTGTCGGTGGACGGAATAGGAGAATATTCTTTACATCTTAAATGTATGATTGTTTTTTTTCTTTCTAAATTACTGTATCCACCTGTGTTTTTATAGGAAATCATCTTTTATGAAAGTTATATCATAGTACTACTAATACTACTATACCTTCACTTTTATTAAGTGATACAATGTTTTCCAAATATAATTAGAAATAAGAATTAAAGAAGTTATGTGTATACATGAACATATATTAATATATATATATATATTCTTATATATGAAACGGACATGTATCAACATTATTTTGATAATGATTCTTCTCAGTTACCACAATAATAAACTCTTGAAACGTGCGGTCGTTCGAATTAAACAAGACTTGAACACCAAAAAAATCATACTTGCATATTGTCGACGACAGAGAATTTTTTTCTGAGGCAACACAGATTACGCCATACTTGTATGTAACTATGGTCTTATTCTTCTCACACCTTTAATAAATGACAGAATGTTAATGTTAAGGAACCTGGGCTTTCTGGAATGGTCTTTAATTTATACTGACTTCTATCTTTATCTTATGTTAAAGACAGAAGAAAATTGTTGTTTTGTCTTTATCTCATCACTTTAGTCCTGCTTTCCTTTTTGAAGGACGAATAACTTTGTTACTGCTTCATTGATGTTTGTCTTTTATCTGTTCAGCCGTCATTTTCTATCTGAAATGACCACCTTCTTGTTAAGTCCGTTACATGTACAGCATGAAAGAAGTCCGTTAACTTTAACCATATATATTCAACAATTACATATCTTGTATTCTTGAAAAAAAAAAACAAAAACAAAAAAACCACAAAAAAAAACGTTTAAATACACTAGCTCTAAATAATTCAAATTGACAGAACTGCTCTCTACGGGAGTGGACACCTGTCCAGTGGGTTATATATGAAGGAAACATTGATTCATTTGTACCTTGTGCGTGTTCCAATCAGACAATCCTTTCTCAACACATCGGAAATGCTCTATCCATAATTAATTCTGCTGTAATAGCTACAGGTCTTGTGTCCAAGTTATATTAAACGTTAAGAAAGATAATGCGCGGCACCAGACTATAATTCTCCTATCTGTTGTCTTTATTCTCTTGAATTTTGATGTCTTTAATTCGTTCTCGCTCCTACTTATTCAGGAAAAATTACTCTTATCTAAATCTGACATTTCGAATTCCGACAGATAAAATAGCTGGAGATGGTTATGTGTTGTGCTTCGTAACGAACTAAATCAAACTCGTTGTTGTGTATTTTACGTAGTTGAAGATGTAATTTAAAGTTTAATTGATTTTTTCTGCTAGGCACCATCTGCTCTGTTTTCGAATGATCACGTTCAGTAGGAGTGGGAAGGTAAGATTAGCTTAACATTTCCTGCGATTCCGTATGTACAACCATTATCATTGGTAGACCAATGATAGAGATGAAAAAATACGAAAAACAGAACAAAAAAAAAACAAAAAACAAAATAAAAAAATGAAAATAAGAGAGGTTACAGTTGTACACAAATAATTTAGCTGTACTGAATATAAGATGTTTTTAGGACATGGATTTTCATACGTATACGGTATTTGTGATTAGCTGCTTAAATTATATTTGTTTATGATTATGTTTTGAAATTCTCAAGTGGCGTGTAACACTTTGGGCCCGTTGGGATTTATGTTTAGCCTTATGTTGTGATGTTAATATTATGTTGGTAAGTATATTATATGTTTTGTAACAGGGATGATGTCGGATATCACGTGAATGTGAGATGCCAGTTCTAACAGACTATGTTTAGTGGTCAGAGTATTGGTCAATTAGAATGATTACCTAACGATCACCTGCCCTTCTCGGGCCTACTGATATCTTCATTAGATAACAATGCACTTGTTTTCTAATGATGTTTTGTCCCATAGACACAGATATGTGGTAACCTCAATGTTAAACAGACCTCGCAGTAAACACACCTTAAGTGAAATGTCACCGACGGATTGTAACTTGCTGCTTGTGAATAGTGTGATTTGCATTGAGAAGATCTCTCACCCGAAAAGATTATGCTAAAAAAAAAAAAAAAAAAAAACTATGTTTCAGTTTTAATACCACCTCAAGGAAAGCTTTAGTGGAGCAATTGGAACACGCTGGTCAATGTACATCGGTCAATGGGTCACCATGCTAGTAGGCTGGACGAGCAACTTGTTCCTTTTCTAAACCATGACAATTGTCTGCTTATGATAGTTCCTTATTTGTTATACTAAAGTGCATTGATATAATCAGGTACGAAATTATCAGTTTTTAAGACTATGCAATTTGTGATTCCGTTCAGATTCCTCATTTCAAACCTGAAATGTATATACATCATGTCAATAAGTATATTTCAACTCCGTTACTACTATTTATTTTCTATCAATTGTATCAATTTCTCTATAAATAAAAGAAATAGTGAAAAAGGGAATATTTCAAAACTGGTTTTCGATGGGTTTTTAAGAAGATGCTTAAAACCCACAATTGAAGGTATGGATAGGATAACGGGCAATCAACACAGTCAAAGCAAAGCATATATATGAAAGATCTCGATGATGTTCGTTACTAGAATTAATCAAATAGCCTTAGCGAAGATTTAGTCCATGAACGTCTTTTTACGACAGCCGTTTGAGAGTTCACTTTGATTATATTATTTGATAGACTGATACCTTGTCTGTTGAATGCTTTACACAACGGTGAAATTGTGTCATTATTTAAATCCTTTAAAGCTACCATAAGTCCACAACACACGGCAAGTAATCAATACCTGTACAATTCTGTATAGCATTCAAAATTTTATTTAAATTAATCGGGTATTGTAGTTGTGAGAATGAATTGCGGCGCGATTGGCCACCGTCTATATTCATCAGTTGTGTATACCCTCTGTCACTATAATGCGTCGTGTTAAGTAAGGGAAAGGTGTCCCAGGTGTGTGGGGGTAAAAGATAGCACCAGGTACACTATATACAGGTGTTCATTGTTGATGAGTCTATTACGACATTACCTTGATATCATACTTACCTGTAATTTACCTAGGCTTCAACTCATCACGAGACATTGTGAGGTGAACTTCAGGTTGAAGGACTGACCACCAAATGACCATGAACAACAAAACACCTCCCGTATCAAGTGAGTTTAAGTTAAGCAGTTTCTCGTGTTCATGGCTATTCCATGTTCTTGCTAGTTTACTGCATAATAATTTATAAGCTACAATTAATTTTGCTTCATTATAAACTTTCATACTGTCTATATTTATTCAAAGGTTGAAAAATTGATTTGAAATATTAAGAAGGACGGTTTGTGCGTTTTGTGTGTTGTTTTTTTTTATTTTTTGTTGGTGTTGTTGTTTTGGGGTTTTTTATTTTGTTTTTTGCTTTTTTTGTTTATTTTTTTAACGATATTTTTATAATTTTTGAAACGTTTCAAATGATATTATTTTATAATATTTTATCAATAAGTTACATTATTAATTGCTGTAGTTTGTCTAACCATTAGTTAACACTACTTGCCCTGTAATAATTTTATCCATAAGTTTATTTGGCGTTAATGAATTTCTTTAAGTTGGTTTATATTTGTGAATATTAGTAAAAACATGTGAAAAAACATTTATTTGTTAATTGTAACATTACAATACTTCATCTCAACGAGATAATAATATAATGTACACATGATGTTTCATTCAATGATGCTAATTCTAAGTTCAAACAGGAAATTAAATCAACATGTTTTCACTGTTCAGAGAAAATAAATATTACATTTATTATTCATATTTTTAATTACATATAACTATAAACGTTAGTAGTCCGTGCTGCGCTTGATGAATAATTATAAAAAGTACAGGAAAATGATGGAAATTTTGTTTTTTTATTCCATGTGTTTGTATGCTGAATCTTGCTTAATCTGTTTGTCTATCTGCATATCGTGCTAATTTCCTCGTGTGTAAGAGCACTTTTATCTGTTGAAGTTAGAAACTGTCAAATGCTTTTAAAACTTATATATTTAATGAAAATATTCTGCTTTTCCTAAATTACATATCTTGCTGACTTGCGTTTCATTTTCGTTTTTTTCGCAATTTACAACAAATTGATAAAAAAAAATACAAAATATAGAATTTTGTATATGATATCACGCTGGCGCATTCGTGTGCAATTACTCCAAATTATTTCCAAATGGCTTTTTATGTCGAAGGTTCATTTTTGCTTTTTGAATATTTAAATATTATTTGATATCTTGTCAATATTCAGGTAACTATTTATAAATCGTTTGTTTAATTAAGTATGTACTTAATTCTCAGATATCTCAAGTATAGTTTCATAATTATTTGATCGCGACTGGAATCTCAATCCCACTCAATCCACTAGAATGACTTTTAACAGCTCATAAACGTGCAAGAAGAAAACATTTTTTTTCAAACGGAACAAAATATGCAAATGCATTTTGTTTAACATAACATTAATTTTAGTAAGGGATCTTATCGTCCCTTTGTTTTGACGTCAGTTACACTGTAATGTATGGAAGGCTGAAAACTCTCTTTAATATTGTGCTAAATGTAACAGACTTCAGGTAGACTAAATGTGTTTGGGACGATGATATTGAATCACCACTTGGCTAGAACAGTTGATGTTGTAATATGGTATTCACAATGTTTGTTTTAAAGTTGATAAATGTTAAGTTTTGCCACCAAATGGGCGGGCAATGTGATGTGCTGTCAATGTAAAACCGACTATGGGTATTATCAACGATAGTAAGTCACACTTCACTATGACAGACGACTCGTAAACTGTAGCGTTTCTTTAATAACACACCGTGAACTGTGGAAAAACGTATTTGGTGTCTTAATAAATTTTGAAATACAAACTTACCACATGCACATTTTGATGATAAATCCTACTTATCCTGACGCTTGTGACCATAGTCATTGCATACGTAGGAGTTATTTTATCATTAATCAAAATAATTAAAGTGGAATCGTGCTATAAATTATTGATATAAGAGTATCTAGGAGGAATGCCACTGTCACCTAAAGTCAACTCAAAAGAGTTATCATTACGCGTTTTTCTTTCGGTAGGAAAACGGCTCCTATAAAAATTATTCTTTCTATTCATGATAAAATATTTAGAGAGAATCGTAATAATTGTTGAATGAAACAAAAATCTAGAATATATATCGATCTTTATTTCTGAATAATACATATGATTATCAACGTGTATTTCTGAAATATCTTTTAAATTTTACAGTACTTGCATCTTCAAAAGGCGTTTAATTTCAGTTTTACCCAAGATGTAATTGAATTTAAAAAAACAGCAGTTATTTTTTTACATAAATAAACCTCGAATGTTTTTTTATTTATTTTATTTTGTGTGTGTAAATGCGGTATATAATTAATAGATAAGACATGTTATCAAGTATAATGATAACGATGATAATATGTTTTCCTTCTACTCCAAACTGTGTTGAGGTATCAACAAGGCAGACTTGAAACTGACTAACTTATGCTATTTTTATAGTTATTTCTTCAGTCATAAAACGAGTTTTTGATTATTTTATCTTCAATATTATTCCGGGCTGTAATTATTGCGCTAGTATATTACTACGTTTAACACAGTTTCTCTTTGTCGTTTATACAGCAATAATTGTTGATGCGCAAATTCTCTATTGAGTTTATTTACAGATCGAGCTATTAATACACTTAAGGTTGATTGGCCCAATTAAGGACGTTTACAGCATTCATATATTTTAAATAATTACTATAGTTTGTAGGCTTTAATAAAAGGCATTCTTTTTATATCAATCTTGTTATCTGTAAATTAACTATAGGCTGTAAACTTTTTTTTATTATGAAATCAGATTATTTTTTACATTGAATCCTAGATTTTTACCTCAGAATTAAACCCTTTTCACAGGTCCTAATGACCTTGTAACGATATTCATATGTAAGTTAATCCACAGTAATAATTTTTATTAACACAATCAAAATATCGTTCAACATGACATATGAATAGAACTCAACTTCTTCCCAAATACAATACGCATAATAAGCTGTCAAAACAATCACAATCGTAGACTTTGAATGTTTCAATTTCATGACAAATTGAAACAACACAACACTCATGTCACCTTTGATAAAGCCAATAGTCGACTTCGTATGGCCTTGAGCCCTCCTTCGTTTTTTCTTCCCACGAGTTCATTTGTGTTTATACTTCTACAAAAGGCAATGAAAACTCCTGATTGTGTGAGCGAGATGTTAAATGACCAAATAAAAATCTGTAAATTAATTTAAGTTGCCAAGGGTTTGTCAACTTTCTATATTTAGCATATCAGTGTAAAGAAAGTTTAACTCTTCGCTTAACAAACATACTTAAGTGTATTGGTATATTTAGCTCTTAAATGGACTCGTTACTATTAAGTTATAAAAACAACTTTAACGGATAATAAGTAACCTCTTATGCATTATAAGAAAATATAAACAATATATCAGACGTCGTTTGTCAGCCGAACAAAAGCGTCGAACAGTTCATTCGGGGTTAGTGGGACACTTTGTCAAAACTCGTCAGGCAGGAACTAGCATTGACCACTTAAGTATTTGTGACCTGGTCACACTTGCTGACAGTTATTACCAGATTTCTCGAGTAGCTAAAACTGAACTTTACTTAAGTGATTTCTCTCGTCTTTTTATGCCAAAAATTTATATTTTTAATACCACCTTCAACTTTATCAGACGTGTTGCTGAGTTGTATACAATTACTTAAATATTTAATCAGTTAACACCAACTTTACACAAATGATCTTTGACAGACGTATGGCTTTTTGCCGACTTCTTGCTATCCGCTCTAGACTTATTGCGGTTTCAAATGAGCGTAAGGATTAACATAGTCAACACCATTCATTACTTTGGAAGATAATATACTTCCAAACAAGAAAGTGCGAAAAATAATTAATATTTATATATATTTTTTTGATTGATTACATATAGATTAATTTTCTATCTAATCTTAGTGATATAATTTTTAAAAACGAAACATGAATTTGAGGTTTAGACAAGACCTTTGAATTGCGATGTGTTTAGAAAACGGTTAAACCAAGAATGATAATCCGTCGAGAAGAATTAGACATTCCGAACCAAATAAGTAATATTATTTAATGTTTGTTATCTTTCTCTTTCAGCTGATCATCTGCATGAGAAAGATTACCTACAAATACTAGTTAATAATGTGAAATATTAATTATATGAAAGTATATAGCTGCCATCTTAATGACATTTCTTGACATTTCATTTCTGTTTAGATTTCTGAACTATAAATACGTTTGCATCATAACAAATAATTTTGGAATGTTTCTGCAGCGTTATGTTACCAACATGTGTCATAAATCTTCATTTTTCGTTTATTTTATTTTTCAATGCACACATATAGATGCCGATAATATAATTTTATCTTATAAGATATCAAAGGTTATAATTTCCCTTTATGCTAGAACGTGTAGATAGGTATCAATTACAATGCGTTTTGGTTTTACATAACTTGGATGTTTGCATGACCGCCATACTTTGTCGTTTGATGTTCCCTCACATTTCTACAACTACTGATGATACCATATATTGCCATCTCTTTGATATATTGGCAGTGAAATGTGAACATGTGATAATTCGGCCATAAACATATATATCAACTGTAAGTGCGTATATTTGTTCATACGTTGGTATGGTATTTGAATGCACGGAAGTGTTATTAAAGATCCTCAAAGTTCAAGACCAGAAAAATATTCACAAAAGATGATGAATGCGTATCATAGATCGCTATTTTAGGCTTGGCAAGTAAATTATTTTAAACCAATTTTATTTGTTTTTGTAATGGGTGTATCATTATATCAAACTATTTATTTCATAGGTCGAATACTCACAGATGTCCCATGTCGAGTCTGTCAAGATCATTCATCAGGAAAACACTACGGAATATTCGCCTGTGACGGGTGAGTCTTTTGAGTCATTTATAAAACATTAATCCCGGCACGAAAAGGCTTCCTAATTGGTTGCCAATATTAAAAACGAACGTAACGCATAAGATTTTTTTCTGTTTTCATAAGAGTTTGAGAAGCACAATTAAGAACGAGTATACAGAATGTAAACGAAAATATCCAAATGATTTACTGAAGAATAAGTTTACCATTTTCTGTTAATTTCGGATAACATTTTTTTTCAAAATGGCTTCAAATATACATTCATTTGTAAAATAGCAGTGTTTGTATTAAAACAAAGCGCGCATTTTTTTATATTAACCTCATTTGCATCTGAACAGCAAAATCAGATACTTGTGATCTACAACCTTTTTAATGGTTTATGTTATATCTCTTACTTTAAGAATTATTAATGTAAACCACTCTTTGCACATCGTTAATAATTGCTGATAAGGAAATAGTTGGCAAACACGAAGTAGTCCATCAGTCCCAGGTTAAAACGTATATATATTCATAAAAGTTTATCCTGATCGAAAAATGTTCATGTAATAATTTTTATCATTACCCTTGATTCATGCTTAAAATTGTTGCCAGTCTCATGTCGAATTACAGATGGTTTTGCAGTATCATTTTTCACAAGTTAACACTGATAATTTTTCTCATTGCAGATGTGCTGGCTTTTTTAAGGTTAGTATTTATATAACACATTTTTGTTACTGAAGTTTTTCATGACAAGACAACACATTCAAAATCATCAAAACTTCTATATTCTTGAAAATTCTTATTATTGACGCTAGTATTCTCTCCCCGAATTCCAAACGCGGATATTCATATTTAAAACTTGAAAATATGGATGACATTCATTGTTTTCAAAAGTTATTACGACAAAAAGGATGAACGACTAAGGTTATAGTGTATATGAACTTAACGATATATACAGCTGTTCTGAAGCCTGAACAAAGCTTGTACAAGTACAAATTTAGTATTAAATACAGTAGCGCCAAACAAGGAGTCAACCTGCATCATGCAACTATTTTGTTATTCGAGGACTCATCAGTGATACTAAGGAATTATAATTTCAAACGTAGGAAACTCTTGAAATAAATGTCAAAATGTAGACGAGGACATGGTTTAACTTTATAAATAAATAAATTTCGCAATTCTCAATGCAACTTTTCACGTCCTAATTGTATTTGTATATACTCTGTTTTAGAGATCCATACGACGAAACAGGCAATATGTGTGTAAATCTAGATCTCAAAATAACTGCCCGGTTGACAAAACACACAGGAACCAGTGTAGGGCGTGCCGACTTAACAAGTGTATCAAAGTAGGAATGAACAAAGATGGTGAGTTTATATAAATACTATATCAATCATCCCTGACATAGCTAAGTCCTTAACATAATACTTTGTATCTATTTTTAGCAAACCAAATTATACATGTCTTAATTTATATCATATTTTCCCAGTATTATTATTCAAAGTATAATCACGCGACTTCAGTATCTTGAAAATATACTTTTATCTTATATTATTGATTTATCTATTTACTTTAGATCAATACATTTGGTACATATTTATATTCATAAACCATTCGTTAAATTCATTCGAGCAAAATTATAAACGATGTATAGAATACCTAACAATATGTTAAATGACTTGATTTTGTAGTACTTTAAATTTTGATGCAATAATTCGCAGCCGTATAAAATATAGTTTCAATATCTGTGAACAGCTGTTCAACACGAAAGAGGTCCTCGTAGTTCCACACTTCGACGCCAGGTGGCAATGTATCTGAGGGAATCGTCTGAAATAAGTTCCATAATGGCCAGCAATTCTCTTCCACCTCCGTACTTCCCAGGTGGTTACTATATGAAGCCAGTTTGTGACAGCATAGCTGTCCCGGTCAGCTCCCATGATCATCCCGTAATGTCTCCTCCTGGCCTGATTCTACAACCAACCCCAAGGGTAGGTATCCAAGAGAGAGCAATTTATACGAGTTGTAAAATGAAATAGAATATGATAAAAGTGATGCAACGGTATAAAAGTATACTTTATGGCATAAGTACGTATTTTGACATACTTAATAATCTAGACAAGCTATTAGATGTACAAATACTGTATGTTATTGTTCTGGTTTGACAGTACCCACAGGAACTGCTGCCGACTTATATTAACAATCCCGAAACAATATGTGAGGTGGCTGCCCGGCTGTTGTTCATGAGTATAAAATGGACCAAGAATGTACCTGCCTTCATAAGTCTCCCTCAACGGGACCAGACAATCCTTCTGGAGGAAAGCTGGAAAGAATTACTCGTCCTCAACATTTGTCAGTTTCAACTCCCTGCAGAGGCTATACTTGGTGCAGCAGGTGAGTGTTTCTGGTTTAAAATGTCTTGATAATAAAGTTACTATATAGAGTTTTTTCCGCAAGGCCCTGTTTTGCGGATTTGATATTATGGTGCCAATCGAAAATCAATGTAAATGTTACAGTAGTAAGTGAAAGTCTTCCCGTAATTCATCTCAGACAATGTATGAGCGTAGATATACCACGGTGTGACTCAATTTGATATACAAGGGTTTAACTACAGTTATCAACTATTTGAAGGCAAGGATTGTACTGAAGACACACAAATTAATATCAACACAAAGTAATAATTAGATACAGTCGAGTCAAATAATGAATAATGAGTGATGATTTTGTCGTAATCAATAGCGTTTTAAATTTTACAAAAAGCAGAAAAACAAACAAACAAATAAATATAATAACCAAACAATAAAAAATGAAACCGACATTGTTTTCATGTTGTCGAAAATGAGATATAACACTTTAACATTGGTTTTTATTTCTTCAGGGAGGCATCCAGAAGCTGCCGGGAGTTCGGAACAGGTCGCCTCCATTATGACAGAAATTCGATCCCTCCAGGAAACGATGACCAAATTTAAATGTCTTAATGTAGATCCCACGGAATACACTTGTCTTAAAGCCATAGTTCTTTTCAAAACAGGTGAGTTATTTGTGTGCAATGGTAACGAAAAATCCAAATCTACATTCTACAACACCAAATGAATTGTATAATTCGTAACCGATTGCTTTTTAAAACTTTAATGTTCTTATATTGGTAGGAATACACAGGTCTCCAAATGACGTCAAGACTCTTCGAGATTTCCACGCTGTTGCCACTCTACAAGACCAGGCTCAATTAACTTTGAACAAGTACATAGAAACTGCATATCCATCACAGCCATTTCGGTTTGGAAAGCTACTTTTACTACTTCCGTCTCTTAACGCCATATCCGGGAAAACAATTGAGGACATGTTTTTCAAGAAAACCATAGGTCACATCCCGATTGAAAAACTTATTATTGACATGTTCAAATCAGGAGAAATTTAGATGTATCCTTCATTAATATATAGCAACTATTATGTATAGTCTGGTTTAGGAGTTCGATTAAGACTGTTTACAAGCGTGTCGTATATGCGCATGCGTGCAAGAGTGTTCCGTTTTGAAGAACAACTCTAAGTTGTGGTGCAGTGTTATCTCTATATATACATTTAAGTGAGTGATGAATGTGGTCCATCTGTTTCATTCGTGATGAATATATTTAACAAGCGATGAGAACATGACACCATCATGAAAAAAGATTATAGATCACAATAAAAAGACAGTTAAAAGCCTTACCCACAATACTTTATGTGGGAATGTTATTGTTTCACTTACAGTCATGTTTTTATTATCACTTTGACTATAAACGATAATGGCATTTATTTACTACATGTGAAACATGTTCATTATTCAAGAACATTGAGTCTTCATGATTCCTTTTTCCTTTTCATTACGCATTTTTACGCAATCGTTTCTACATCTATTAGTTATTGTTTTACTCTGTTGATTAATCCCTTCAAAGTAGTACGTATTGTGAGTCTACGTGCAATAAAATGGGTCGAGTTACACAGTAAGTGCTTAACCATTTATCACTATTTCTATTGTTATTGTAATAAATTAATATCTTTTACAGAGTTGAGTTCTGTAGTTCGTTACTATATATAATATATTGACACCGAAAAGCTTACATAATACCTTAATTGTAATCGTTTTCGTTGTTAATGTCTTTAATTTAGAGAAATCATAAGTTAGATTCCAAGAACACTTGCTTATTCATTAAGTAATTATTCATCTGACTGCAACTTCTTATATTTTGAATTAAATAACAATTACAATGTGTTCATTCAAACTTTTGTGTATTGTCAATGTTACATTCTTCATGGATCATGCATGAACTAAATTCCCATTTAGTTCTTCACCCAAATGTTCATATAGATTATATGAGTCTTAATTCAAAATCACTTATAGCAAGAAACATGAGATAATATCTCTTTACACATTTCAGTCAATTATATTACAAGATATGGACATAAGTAAAACAACTGTGATGTCCATATTGCAAATGGATATGAATATTTGAATTAAGTGCCAAATATGTCATGTAAATATTGTTTGTCGTTGTAAGTGAAAACAGTCGTAGTGTTATTTTATCTATTGTTATTACATAAAGTGCTAGTGAACTGTACTGGTGCCGTGCCACCTCTGTATGATGGAATATAGTGTGTGTAAATCAAGCATGTTAAATCACATTTATACTGAATGTACATTTAATACGTAATTATGTATCATTATTTATGATTACCAATAAAAAGTTATGCAGGAGACTTTTGTCTTTTCTTCTTTTAACAACATCTTTCTACATGGTCTATGTTTCTGGCTTTTACCAGGTATAATAATCTCTAAGTTGATATTTTTAAATCATGGAGTGAACTTAAATGACGAGTATTGTCAATCGATGAAATAGAGGAAGCTGTTATACAGGAAGACCTGTTCCTTGTACTCATTCAGGTCTACAGGAGTTTTACGGACAAGTTTTTTATAAGTTTTTACAAGCAGTCCTGCATCATGAAATGTCAATGGACAGACGATCATTATAAAGTTCACGCATCGATATGAATTATTAGCTTTATATCTTGTGACAATATTTTTCATATCTATGGAGTTCAAAAGGGTAACTTTCTCTTTTCAATTTCGGAGTCTAACGTTGGAATGTTTTAGTTTTCTCCAAGTAGAGCCTCATTAAGCATGTCAAAAGGCTATCAAACGATTTACCTGATACATCAACTTGTCTATATTTTCATGGTTTGCGCATCAGAGTAAGGTGTGCTTTTAGTTCAGAGTGTTCGAGAATCAGATTGATAAAATGTATAAAATAGCAGTATCTTACAATGTCGCACATGTACCTCTCATAAAATGTATGACATATATGTTTGCATGTTTAATTATCAATTTTACTATTTGTATGATATATATTATCCATAGGTAAGCATTATATTATCTCTTGTCCTTTTATTCTTATCAGAATTCGCTTATTTACACATGTATTAAACTAGATTGTCTATTGGTTTACCTTTACAATACCAACGCAGGAGAAGAAACAGATCCGTCTTACATGTTCCTATAGCATTACCCACTGTTCAAATGGTTTTATTATCTTATTGATAAGTGAAGGTCTTTGTCTGTGCTTTATATTTTAAATACAAAGATGTTGACACTGAAATTCCAAATAGGTTACAATTGTGTCTATATCCTACCTTAAGTGCCGGTATTCCGTGTGATATACCAACACATCTGTCAAACTCCGGGTGGCTAAGATCTACCCGCTGTTCAACTTACCTTCCAATAACTTACTGACTTACAAAAATACGAGATTTTGGCCTAGAGGTAAGAAATCTAACACTTTTACAAATTACTTTATTTTATCTATTGACTGGAATCCAACCCCGAGCTTTAAACAGGACACCTGGGGTGTTACATAACATCTACCTGGACTCTCTCAATCACTAGAGTCAGGGTTTCAAAGGATCTCCGCGGGATGTTCTCCTCAGGTTGTGTTGTGAGCACAGTTATATGATACCATTTGAAACCAGCAGGATAACAGCGGTGAATAGTAGCACTGATGGCCGCTATTCTTCTAAAGGATTATTTGGCTTTCAAACGTTCTTGGTTATGAATTTTGTCTTATCACTTTATACATCTATAATTATCCGAGATTGAGTTTCAGTGATCTTTTCAGGATTTGATTGACAGAATATAGCTCTATAACATTCATTCACATAATTGTTTGTCGAGTGAAATTGAATTTAGAAAAAAAATCTCAGTAGTTACACCAAAGATGTAATCAAATTTTTTGGGTCAAAATTACTGTAATTTTTAATTTTTCGTGGAGGGCTAATTTTCTTTGAATTAACTGGCATTCTTAATCCACGACTTTATATGTCCACGAAATAATAAACGGATGAAAGGGAATATACCATTAAAGTTTTTTTACGGATCAGCAATACTTAGCCATAAAAGCAAGTGCCAACTAAACTGTGTATATTTGTAAAACAACGAAATTGGAGTCCCACGATATGTATGAGTTTATAGAGTAGTTGAGAGCTCTTTAGATTGAAACAACCGTGAAACATGCAGTAATAACACAACAGCTTCATAGAAATCAATAGATTTAACACAATCTATAATGAACTATATATGTTTAGTTACCGTCATAAATGTCACAACATATTCTATTAACGCCAATCATATTTGAAAACTATTCACAATTACCACGTTGTTCATATATTCATACTATTTACTGATGTGAAATTAAAAGTTTCATGGTAGATACTTCATTTCCTCAATATTAAGCCAGTCTGGAAACCAAATAATGATACAGTGTATGCGTTACAATAGATCAATAGAATGTCATAAGGCCATGTGTTGAGATAATATATTGCTACAAATTGTTTACAGATTCAAACCCAGAACCGAAGCGGAAAAATATAACCAAACCTGAGTACCAGCAACAAAGTTTATAAAATAGTGTGATTACAGACACGTGCGCTTACACACAAAACACACACGTCAATGTCAGCGAAAAAAGTGATTAAAGGAAAATTGCCATTTATCGCCATATTCAAATACTATGTAAATAGTTGGACTAGAACACATAACCGCCCCTGCTCTTCTTGTATCGTTGGCTCTATCACAATATTCAAAAGCATTATGTGTTGTATCGGGCAAATTGTCACGGAAACATTTCCAGATAATACATGTTTTAACTGGGTGAGTGTTGACATTGAGTCTGGGACTACTAATTATTTTACTAGCCTATTACCATACTTGGGTTTACTTGATAACCTTATTCATCCAAGACCAGAATTTTGTTCCCAAGATTTCTAGTGTTTCATGGTACTGATGTAAATAACAAGGATTACGCTATCGTTTCTTTGACAGGTAGGCGTGCTGGAGATAATTTTAACAAAACAGACATTGCAGCATCTGAACGTAGGGTTTTACTGTTCCTTAAGTGGAATCACGTGCTGCATTTCTATCAAGGCCCTCGCTTGTGTTATTTACACTAGAACTGATTTTTAAAATAGCTTTACTGAAAATCCTCGAGATACTCTATTCAGTAATCTAGTCTTATATTTTTTCTAAAATTCGTACTAACATGTAGTTTTTTTTTTTTTTTTTTTTGCTTTTTTTTTCGTACTTGCTTCGAACTTGACCGATGGGAGAAACTAGCTAGATTGTTAGACAGATGACCATCTACAATGAAAATTGTGTTGTCTAATGTGCTGTACCTATATTTGGTTGAGCACAAAAACAATCGCAACAGGATTGTCAGTTGCAATAAAAGACAACCTTGAGTTATCTGTCCCCTGTCAAGTTGGACACCAAATATTAGCTTGAAATCTACTTCATCTAGTAAGATTAAACTTTTAAATGCTCAAAATCGTCTTACAACGTTTCAGATAATTTTTCTTATTTTCCTGTTTTGAAATTGACCACATGAAAGCTACAGTATTTCTAGAGTGCGGAGCATATGCTATAAAGCTATCTACCTGCTAAATGGCTCGTGTGTTAGTTTAATAAGAAGGCTGGTATACACGATTTTCGGGTGGTCTTTTTATTGTTTCATTTTTCTTTGCAAATTGAAGTTGGCACTGGGAGTCGCGTGTTTTGTTCAGTATATCTGATCCAATTTACCTCAACACCTATCTAAACAAGCCCATCACAGAGATCATTAACTTTTCAGATGTCCGGTTCCTCCAATCCTGTGGATTCGGATGAGTTTGCGAAAAAGTGTTAACCGCAGTATTTGTTGTTAACTTAAACAGGTGTGTCATTGTACAGGTGTGCAGAACGTCCCGGGGTATTTGCCTTGTTAATAGATATATATTCCGATCTTCGTTGAATAAAAAGTGTCCCTGAACAAACGTAAGCGTCCATGAGACATGTACAATTGACTTGGCGTTTTCAATTATCTTTGAAAGTCCTGGTTATCAACCACACACAACGTA